TGTAACTGTACCTGAGTGTAACTGTAACTGGGAGTAACTGTAACTATACATGTAACTGTAACTGGGTGTAACTGTGGCTCCATCAGTGTTTCTGGCGTCAGACCAAACGGTTCAGACATTAAATGCAGAGAACAGATACGATCAATAACACTAATGGATTAAGTGCTGCTGAACAGGCAGACAGGAAGTGATGTCAGACAGACAGGATGTGATGTCAGATGTTTTTTCAGTCCTTCAGCTGTGAATTCTCTGGTTGAGTTTGAGGTTCTGCTGGTTCTGCTGGTGTCTCCAGAGCCCCTGTATCGATCGTCAGTGACAGAGCGTTCATGTCTTTGTCCTGAGCTGTGAGTTCAGATCCAGGTTGTAGACGTGTGGTGCATATTGTCCACCATTCTTTCAGCTTTTGGGGTTTCTACCTGCTCACTGCTGTTCGTCCTTCAGACCAGCCGGCTGGTTCTGAGGTTCTGAGCCTCCATGGTCTTCTGTGTTGTTGTGAGCGGGACTCAGGCTGAAGAGCAGCCGGTGGGTTGGTGCTGGCTCCGATATGTGGAGCTCACAGCCTGGTAATCTGCACAACACTGAGCTTTAAGGTGATTATGAGCTGGATCTGACCTTCAGGAATTATTCTGAACATCCTGAGATCCTGCAGTGATCGGCTCACACTGGGTCAGTGTTTGGGCTTTAACAGGGGCTGAGTCGGGCTGATCCACGGCCGGTTCAGGAGGCGGGTCAGCAGCCAGGACGGGACTCAGAACTACACAAAGAGACGATGTGTTTAACAGCATCTAAGACGAGCAGCGTTTCTGTTTGGTGGCTCTCTCTGGTTTTTATTCAGCTGAAACGGCTGCTGGTGAGAATAGACTGGGTGCAGCAGGTCTGAGCAGGACAACCGGCAGGCGCTGTGCTGCCAGGCCGGCTGGAGGCCGCTGCTCTGCGCTAAGCTGCCCTCGGCCTCATTATTATTATTGTTACTATGAGAGCAAACAGATGAGCTGCTGCAGGATCAGCAGATTTATTCTCCTTTATTTTAATCTCTGGAAACAACAACACTGCAGCCAGGAAACAGCGAACCCTGAGCTCAGACTCACAGGCTGCTTCAGGATCATATTTACTCATGTTGGTGTGCAGACGTTTGGTTCTGACAGTCGTTCTCTGTGTGACTCCATCAGCTGCTTTCTGGAAACAAAGAACTTCCTCCAGCGTCCGGTTCAGTCCAGAGATGTTCAGCTTAGTGTCTCAGAGGAAGGAAACCAGAAAACATTCACTGAAGGAGCTGAAGTCACTGAGTTTACTTAAACTGGTCAATAGTCAGACTAGTTGGTAATCACTGATGTCGTAGTTTGTGGCTGGTTGCTCTGTTTGCTGCTGCAGCTCTAGTCCACGACGGTTCAGCAGGTTCAGTCTAATGTTAGATGATAAGAGCTGATCAGTGGACACCAGACCAGACGGACCGGCTCTGACTGTGTCTGAATATCGTCCTTGAAGGTCTGTAAAGAGTCACCGCTGTGTTCGTTTCTCTCTTGTGGCTGAGCAGTGAACTGGTCTGAATACAACAAGCTGTGCAGATGGACTCTGGCAGTCACATGTGAAATGAGCTTTTTATTTTCACTTCTATGTGCTGTATCAGTTCCCATGACGCCGTGACAGTGAGCCTCCGTTAATGTGAAGCCTGACCGTCGTGCTGCTCCACCGACCGGCTTCGGGTTACATGGTGCTGACAGAGCAGGAGGATCTTCTCATGTCCTGATGCAGCTCTGGCTGCACTGGTCCAAGCTTGTTCACTTAGTTTATCCCAGTGAAGACAGCTGACCTGGTGTCCTGGTTCCAGTGGGAGGGCGCAGCGCCGCCCGCAGGGACTCGGTGGAGCTGCAGGTCACAGTGAAGACGCTGCCACCTGCTGGAACAATCCGTTACTGCACAACAGGAACCACGACTGAACTACGGTGTACAGATCCACTCAGCAGCTCCTGGATCGATTTAAACCACCGAGGTTCATGTTTCTCTGCAGCATGAAGTCCTGCCAGAACCAGAACCACATGAAGGAGGAGAGAGAACTCAGAGACGTCATCTGTCAGCAGGACTCAGTCAGAACCATGGAAATAATAAAAGAAAGCTTAATTTCATAGATCACTGATTTCACAAATGTTTTAAAAACAATATTCTATATTTAAGATAATGTTTAATACATTTATTTTGTTCATATAATCACCAAATAGCCTCCAGATGACATAAAATTAGTCCTAAATGACACAAAACCCGTCCAACACGACTTAAAATGACTTAAACTTGTCCAAATGACTGAAAACATGTAAATAATTACTTTAAAATTGTTCCAAATGACTTGAAACTCGTCCAAGATTCCTAAAGATGACCTGAAATGTGTCCCAGGTTGCTGCAGATGTGACCAGAATGACTTTAATCTGATCCAAGACGACTCAGAGTGACTTAAAACACCTGAATCTTGGTCTTAAATCACGTAAAGTCCTGCAGCTCTGTGGAACCAGAACCATGAAGGAGGAGAGAGAACTCAGAGATGCATCATTTCCAACAGTGTGAACAGACTCTCAGTGTTTCTAACCTCAGACATCCATGAACATGTGACCAAACGCTGTGAATAAACTGATGTTTGCAGGTTAGATAACGAGAAGGAGCCATGAAAGGAAACACAGAAGGTTCTTTTGTCTCAGATCTAGTTATCATATAAAGAGAGAATCTTTGTTTGTCATCACTGGTGTACAGATTTTAACAGGTTTGTGTTCCATGTCTACAGACATGTATGGACGTGATGAGAAGGACCGAGCGCCCTCTGACTGTGTCTGTTGTGTTCTGCTGCTGCTGCAGGTGAGCTGCTGAGTCAGCCGCGACCCGAAGGTCTGACCGAGATCATCTGTCCAAAGAACGGCTCTGAGCGGGTCAACGTGGCGCTGGTCTACCCCCCCACCCCCACCGTGCTCAGCCCCTGCCTCAAGTGACCCGACCCGCCTCACGGATCCCCAGAACCTCTGACCCGCCACGGGGCGCCGGACGCTGCTTCTCCTGTAGGTGAAACACTCACACATGTAGAGAAACCAGTGGAACCAGTCAGACCAGTCAGAACTGGTTCATCATTTAAACCAGTAAAATTAGCAGAAACACTCTAGAAGTGAAACTGGATCATTTATTTAGTCTGAAGGTGACGTCAGCACAGTTGTACAGATGGTTCCTGTTTTTACTCTGAACGGGTCCAGATCAGTGGGTCGGCAGGTATGCTGAGCCTACAGTCAGAGTTTTCAGTGTCACGAAGGTGGTTCTTGTTCTACCTACAAGATCTCCATGGTAACTGATGCTGTGGAGCTAGGTCTCCATGGTAACTGATGCTGTGGAGCTAGGTCTCCACGGTAACTGATGCTGAGGAGCAGGGTCTCCACGGTAACTGATGCTGTGGAGCCAGGTCTCCATGGTAACTGATGCTGTGGAGCTAGGTCTCCACGGTAACTGATGCTGTGGAACAGAGTGAACAGAGTCTGAAGCAGGAAGTCTGAGATGATGAAGCTGTGATCTCTGGTGGAGCTTTAGTTCATGTGGAGCCGACTACACAGAGAAAGTCTGGATGTGTCGGACTGGCTTCATTGTTCAGCTGTCTGGTGTTGTGGAGTTGTGTAGTTCTGACCTGTTGTGTAGTTCTGACCTGTTGTGTAGTTCTGACCTGTTGTGTTGTTGTTGTTGTTGTGTTGCAGGTTGTCGGTCTGACTTTCTTCACCCTGAACTGTCATTTAAGGAGCACAAACTTCCTCAGACCTTTACTTCCTGTTCTGCACCTGCTCAGACTCTCTGCAGCCTCACATGTAGCCACACGACTCCAGAAAACAGGAAGTGATGCAAGCGGACTCACCTGGACTCACCTGGACTCACCTGAAGCTGTGGGCGGAGGGAGCCTCCTGATTGGACTGTGCAGGATGACAGCGTGTTTGAGGAGAAGACGAGGCGACGTGTTCATCAGTGTGGTCACATGTTAGCATCCAGACACACAACATCAGCTTTGTTATCAGCAGCTTCACACAGACTCACAACCTGCATCACCGACTTCACACCTCACAGGTTGTACAATGGTTGCTCTAAATCTGAAACTGAAGCAATCACTTTTACTGTTTCATTATAGAGAGACACAAAAGAGACACAAAACAACCACAAAGAGACACAATGTGAACATTAAAGTGTTGCTCTGGATTCTGTGACCAACTGATGCACATGTTGTTCACTGTGAGACGAACTGATGTCCAGGTGTGTGTCCAGGTGTGTGTCCAGGTGTGTGTCCAGGTGTGTGTCCAGGTGTGTGAAGCAGATCTCAGCAGGGAGGTTGTGTTTGTGTAAATAATATCTTTATTTTTGTATGTTGAACTGGTTCAGTCAGTGAGCTGCATGATCACAGACACACACAGTTTGTATGTAGCTGCCAGCAGTCGAATAAACAGTGACTGGTTCAGTAGGCTGGGCTGCCTTCATTACCCCACAGTACTCTGTTACTGGATACCGGTACTCTGATTACCCCACAGTACTCT